AGATTCATCAAGCCGCGCACGCCTGCGCGCCGCAGCGCCCCCCGACAATCGCGCGCGAGGGGGTGGGCTCTGCTACGCTCCGAGCGTGCGGTGCGTCCCCATCCCCGCACCACAGCGGTCGCGAATGCAAACACCCGTCCCCTGTCCGGGCCGACCCCTGCATCCACCATACGCCACGGCGTCCAGGGCTCGGCCCCGCACAGGGCGGCGGACATAGCTGCGGGCAGGCCACCGCGCGCGGCCGCCTGGACCGACGACCCAGCAGCAGTCGCCCCGGCCCCCCAGGCAAGCAGGGCATCGAGCCGTCCCGCACGCCCCATCCCCCAGCTCGCCCGCTGTGCCTGAAACAGGACTCCAAAACGCGTCACGATCACCAACCCGCCCCGCCCCCAATCCAGCCGACCCGACCCAGACCGCCAGCCCCGCAGGGCGCCTGCTGGCTGGACGCCAACCCCTCAGCCCCGGTGTCTACCAGCGACCGCCGCTGGAACAAACGCCGCCAGAGCGGCCGGCGCCCTCCTGCCCTGAAACCCATCAACCCATCGGACGAGCGGCAGACAAGGCTGGAATGCCCCCTCATCCCGAGCCCAACGCACCAGCTCGCCCTTGTGCCTGAGGCAGGACTCCAGGAAATCGTAGAAGGGCCGCGCCTCGCCGTTGGGGCCGGGGCCGCTGTCGGCGATGACCTGGCGGAAGGTGAGGGGAAGGCGTTCACAAGTTCAATTGGCGTCAATTGGGGCCGGCGGAGTGCTTCAGGGTGGGTTGGGGGTCTCGTGGGGGATTGTGTGGGGGATTGTGAGTGATGGAGGGCCGGATTGAGGGTGGAGGAAGGGCGCGCATATGTGTGTGTGCAGCGGCGCCCGGCGCTGGCGCCGCGGGCCCATGTCGCTGTGCTTGTATGCGCGACAAAGGCCAGCGGCGAAGCGCGGCGGCGGCGCAGCAGGAGCGGACGCTGTGGGGCCGCAGGGCCAAGCCTGACAGGGCAGGACGTGCAGAGCGCGCCCTGCCCGCCGGTCGCGCCGACACGAGCACAACCCTGTCGCAGCCTTGCGCCCTCGTACAATGTTGAACGCCTCAACCACCCCACGTGCTGCAGCCGAGGGATGCCAGATGCAGCGGCACCACCACGCGCACCAGCGGGACACACATCGAGCGAGCGCATGCGAAACGTGCGTGGTCCCACGCACGCACACAGGGTGGCATATGAGCAGCCACACCTTGAAAAGATTATGCTGCGACCGCATGGGCAGCAGCTTGCCTGTCGCCCTGCTCTTCACGACATACCACCCACACCAAATCCCACAGCCGCGCCACAAAGCCGGGCAGGCCCGCTCAGAACCCTCGCGCCCACATGCCTGCACACCACACGCCCATCCAGGCTCGCGCAAACACGTCATGCCCTCGAACACACACATACGCTGCATTCTCACACACAAACTCACATGCCCCCCCTCTGCCCCCCCCCCAAAGCAACCACACACACACACACACACACACACACACACACACATACACACACACATCTGCACGCCCACCTGCGACACATATCTGACGAGCAGGCACTGCGCCAGGGGGCTCTTGACGGCCGCGCGCGTGAGCTGCGTCACCAGCTTGGACACCGCCAGGCGGTCGGTGGCGCGCAGCGCGTGGAGCAGCGCGACGGCGTGGAACTGCACCATGGGGTGCTTGGACTGGGGGTGGGGGATGGGGGGGGATTGGGTGGTTGAGGTTGAGGGGGGACGGCATGGGAAAATCGAGGGGGTCTGACACTGATAGGCGGGGCGGCAGGTGCTGGCTTTCCCTTTCAGGGGGTTTGCTGCCCATCGGTAACGTTTTGAGCCGCGCTTGCGGCTGACGCTGGCAGACGTGCAGTTTCCGAGAGGCCTGATTGCCCGGCACAACAGAAGCAAAGACTCAAGGGCTGCTAGTATGTCGGGCACACAGACATTCCCTCGCCCCAGAACACACACATGTACACACACACACACTCTGTCTCTAATGTACACATGCACAGGCACGCGTATGCACGTGCATACACACACATTCTCCACCCGTCTCTCGCCCTCCACCAAAAACACACACACCCTGCCCCGCACCCTCCCCGCCCCGTGTGCCACCC